GGCGGGCTTGGCCCGACCCGTGACAATGTGAATATTCACATTGACATGTTAAGATTAACATTGATAGGAGTGTAAGATTTGCCCGCTGCCCGGGGTAGGCCCGGCCCGGCCCGTTGACAATGTGAATGTTTACATTGACATGTTAAAATGCACATTGATAGGAATGTAGAATTGGCCCGTGGGCTGCTCGAAGCTCGCCCACGGCCTAGGGCAGGCTCGTTTCGGTCCCGGCTTGAGCATGTCCAAGACCCTAGGTTAGGGCCTAGGTCATCACTTTGAAGCCCAGCCCGGCCCATCGGCCCGCTTAAGGCCCATTCAAGGCTCGGTCCGAGGCCCAGCCCGCTCGAGGCGCAATGTATTTTTTTTGTGAAAAATAATAAAATTTTGGTAGAAAAAATTAAAAAGAATTAAAAAAAAATTGCCAGGCCCGCCCTAGCTCGACCTAAGCTCGAGGCTAGGCCTAGGCCCACCGGCCCGACCCGAGGCTCGATCCATCGGCCCGTGCAAAGTCCGAATACCCTTGTGCCAGGGCTAGGGCTTGTGCCTAATTTTTTGGCCCATGGGCCGACTCGACCCGGCCCGGGAAAGGCTTGTTTGGACCCAGGCTCGAGCCTAGTCGAGACCTTAGGCTACGGCCTAGGCCATCACTTTGAAGCCCGGCCCCGCCCATCGGTCCGATTAAGGCCCATTCAAGGCTCGGTCCGAGGCCCAGCCCGCGCCGAGGCCTAGTGTATTTTTTTGTGGAAAATAATAAAATTTTGATAGAAAAAATTAAAAAGAATTTTAAAAAAAAGGCCAGGCCCGCCCCGGGCGGCCCACGGGCCGTGGGCTGGTTTCGGGCAGTCACGAGGCACGGGCTAATTTTACACCCCTATTAATGTGAATGTTAACATATTAATGTGAATATTCACATTGTCAACGGGCCAGGCCGAGCCCGCCCTGGGCCGCTGGCCAATTTTATACTCTTATCAATGTGAATGTTAACATGTCAATGTGAATATTCACATTGTCAAACAGGCCGGGTCGGGCCCGCCCCGGGCCGCCCACGGGCCGTGGGCGGGTTTCGGGCAACCTCGAGGCGCGGGCTAATTTTACACTCCTATCAATGTGAATGTTAACATGTCAATGTGAATATTCACATTGTAAATGGGCCGGACTGGGCCCGCCCCGGGCCGCCCATGGGTCGCGGGCGGGTTTCGCGCCGCCACGAGACGGGGGCCAATTTTACACTCCTATTAATGTGAATTTTAACATGTCAATGTGAATATTCACATTGTCAAACAGGCCGGGTCGGGCCCGCCCCGGGCCGCCCACGGGCCGTGGGCGGGTTTCGGGCAACCTCGAGGCGCGGGCTAATTTTACACTCCTATCAATGTGAATGTTAACATGTCAATGTGAATATTCACATTGTAAATGGGCCGGACTGGGCCCGCCCCGGGCCGCCCATGGGTCGCGGGCGGGTTTCGCGCCGCCACGAGACGGGGGCCAATTTTACACTCCTATTAATGTGAATTTTAACATGTCAATGTGAATATTCACATTGTCAAACAGGCCGGGTCGGGCCCGCCCCGGGCCGCCCACGGGCCGTGGGCGGGTTTCGGGCAACCTCGAGGCGCGGGCTAATTTTACACTCCTATCAATGTGAATGTTAACATGTCAATGTGAATATTCACATTGTAAATGGGCCGGACTGGGCCCGCCCCGGGCCGCCCATGGGTCGCGGGCGGGTTTCGCGCCGCCACGAGACGGGGGCCAATTTTACACTCCTATTAATGTGAATTTTAACATGTCAATGTGAATATTCACATTGTCAAACAGGCCGGGTCGGGCCCGCCCCGGGCCGCCCACGGGCCGTGGGCGGGTTTCGGGCAACCTCGAGGCGCGGGCTAATTTTACACTCCTATCAATGTGAATGTTAACATGTTAATGTGAACATTCACATTGTCAACAGGCCGGACCAGGCTGGCCCTGAGCCGCCCATGGGCCGTGGGCAAGTTTCGGGCAGCTACGAGGCGTGGGCTAATTTTGCACTCCTTTCAATGTAAATGTTAACATATCAATGTGAATATTCACATTGTCAACGGGCCGGGCCGGGCCCGCGCCCGGGCTGCGGGCGGGCTTCGGGCCATCCATAGGCCGCGGGCCAATTTTATACTCTTATCAATGTGAATGTTAACATGTCAATGTGAATATTCACATTGACATGTTAACATTTACATTGATAGGAGTGTAAAATTGGCCCGCAGCCCGTGGGCGGCCCGAAGCCCGACCGCAGCCCGAAGCGGGCTTGGCCCGACCTGTGACAATGTGAATATTCACATTGACATGTTAACATTCACATTGATAGGAGTGTAAAATTGGCCCGCAGCCTGTGGGCGGTTCGAAGCCCGACCGCAGCCCGAAGCGGGCTTGGCCCGACCTGTGACAATGTGAATATTCACATTGACATGTTAACATTCACATTGATAGGAGTGTAAAATTGGCCCGCAGCCTGTGGGCGGTTCGAAGCCCGACCGCAGCCCGAAGCGGGCTTGGCCCGACCTGTGACAATGTGAATATTCACATTGACATGTTAACATTCACATTGATAGGAGTGTAAAATTGGCCCGCAGCCTGTGGGCGGTTCGAAGCCCGACCGCAGCCCGAAGCGGGCTTGGCCCGACCTGTGACAATGTGAATATTCACATTGACATGTTAACATTCACATTGATAGGAGTGTAAAATTGGCCCGCAGCCTGTGGGCGGTTCGAAGCCCGACCGCAGCCCGAAGCGGGCTTGGCCCGACCTGTGACAATGTGAATATTCACATTGACATGTTAACATTCACATTGATAGGAGTGTAAAATTGGCCCGCAGCCTGTGGGCGGTTCGAAGCCCGACCGCAGCCCGAAGCGGGCTTGGCCCGACCTGTGACAATGTGAATATTCACATTGACATGTTAACATTCACATTGATAGGAGTGTAAAATTGGCCCGCAGCCTGTGGGCGGTTCGAAGCCCGACCGCAGCCCGAAGCGGGCTTGGCCCGACCTGTGACAATGTGAATATTCACATTGACATGTTAACATTCACATTGATAGGAGTGTAAAATTGGCCCGCAGCCTGTGGGCGGTTCGAAGCCCGACCGCAGCCCGAAGCGGGCTTGGCCCGACCTGTGACAATGTGAATATTCACATTGACATGTTAACATTCACATTGATAGGAGTGTAAAATTGGCCCGCAGCCTGTGGGCGGTTCGAAGCCCGACCGCAGCCCGAAGCGGGCTTGGCCCGACCTGTGACAATGTGAATATTCACATTGACATGTTAACATTCACATTGATAGGAGTGTAAAATTGGCCCGCAGCCTGTGGGCGGTTCGAAGCCCGACCGCAGCCCGAAGCGGGCTTGGCCCGACCTGTGACAATGTGAATATTCACATTGACATGTTAACATTCACATTGATAGGAGTGTAAAATTGGCCCGCAGCCTGTGGGCGGTTCGAAGCCCGACCGCAGCCCGAAGCGGGCTTGGCCCGACCTGTGACAATGTGAATATTCACATTGACATGTTAACATTCACATTGATAGGAGTGTAAAATTGGCCCGCAGCCTGTGGGCGGTTCGAAGCCCGACCGCAGCCCGAAGCGGGCTTGGCCCGACCTGTGACAATGGGCTTCGGGCTGCCCACGGGTCACGGGCTAATTTTACACTCTTATCAATGTGAATGTTAACATGTCAATGTGAATATTCACATTGTCAACAGGCCGGGCCGGGCCCACCCCGGGCCGCCCACGGTCCGTAAGCTAGTTTCGAGCAGCCACGGGGCGCGGGCTAATTTTATACTCTTATCAATGTGAATGTTAACATGTCAATGTGAATATTCACATTGTCAACAGGCCGGGCCGGGCCCACCCCGGGCCGCCCACGGTCCGTAAGCTAGTTTCGAGCAGCCACGGGGCGCGGGCTAATTTTATACTCTTATCAATGTGAATGTTAACATGTCAATGTGAATATTTGCATTATCAACGGGTTGGGCCGGGCCCGCCTAGGGCAGCCCACGAGCCGCAGGCGGGTTTCGGGCCGGCCACAGGCCGCGGGCTAATTTTACACTTGAATGTTAACATGTCAATGTGAATATTTGCATTATCAACGGGTTGGGCCGGGCCCGCCTAGGGCAGCCCACGAGCCGCAGGCGGGTTTCGGGCCGGCCACAGGCCGCGGGCTAATTTTAAATGTGAATGTTAACATGTCAATGTGAATATTCACATTGTCAACGGGCCGGGCCGGGTCCGGGCCCGGGCTTCGGGCTGCCCACGGGTCATGAGCCAATTTTACACTCTTGTCAATGTTAATGTTAATGTTAATATGTCAATGTGAATATTCATATTGTGAGCGGGCCGACCCGAGCCCGCCCGAGGCGACGGGCTGGTTTCGTGCCGCCCACGGGCTGCAGGCCAATTTTACACTCCTATCAATGTGAATGTTAACTTGTCAATGTGAATATTCATATTATTAACGGGCCGGGTCAGGCCTATTTTTTTGGCTTGTGGGCCGGCCCGGCCCGACTCGAATTTTTCCGGGCACCCACGAGGATCGACATGAGCCGGGCTCCTACACATTGACGATATAAACATTTAGATTGACGGTGTGAACATTCACATTAAGAGTATTTTGGTAATTATGTCACCCATAAGACTTATTGAAACATAAAAAAATAATGTGAACTAAATGGAACATAAGTAGATGAAAATGGTATTTTGGTCTTCTTATCTCAAATTGGACCTAATGGAATAGTCAAAAAAATATGGGTTGGATGGAATAAAACTCTTAGAAAATAGATTTATCAAAAAAGCTCTCTATCTTAAATAGGACCTAATAAAATAGTCAAAAAGAATATGAATTTAATAAAATAAACCTCTTAAAAAGTAAATTTATCAAAAAAAAAAAAAAAAAAGCTCCCATAATAATAATATGTATTGAACGTAAAACTTTTTGTGTTTAAAGTTTTCACATAAAGGGCCTCCCATATGAATTAGTTTCATATAAAGGGCCTCCCATAGTTCAGAAGATCCATGTTAAATCTAATCAACCGACGATATGTGATTAATTTACCAATTCAACAAATATCAGAGAGCAACATTACGAATCATTATACATTTTTTGTGCTTTTTTTTTGGGGGAATTAGGGTTTCGGAATTATTCAAATCGAAGTGCAAATGGAAGGGTTTACAGCAGAAGATCTGTCAACAATCGGAGGAATCGCCACTGTATCATTGTTGCATTCATTCATTCCCACCCATTGGCTTCCCTTCTCCATTGTCGGTCGCGCCCAGAAATGGACTCTCTCTCGAACCCTTCTCGTCAGTATGTCCCTCCCTCTCTCTCTCTCTCTCTAGATCTTGTTATTCATGTGTATTGAAATGCGATTGTTTGCTGTGAATTTGGAAGACATGAAGGAAGTTAAATTTGCGGTTTTTATGTTGTACATTTTGTCAAGGAAGCCAATTCATTTTATTTTTATAGCTCTTTTTGCTACATTATTAGCTTCTAACTGGAGGATTTGGGTGAGAAGTGTAGTTTTCAATGCTATTTCTGAAGCAACGGGAGGTTATGAAGTTGGATCTAAGAGCATTTCCAACCCTTAACCTGTATTTTTCATAAAATTTGTTCAAGAATTTAGACCATAATCTTGATTTGATATAGCAAACTCTAATTGTGAGAAGCAAAATTTTCGTCAAATCTTTTTTTGAAAAAAAATAACTAGCCTATTTAACCAATTCAGTTTTTAAAAAATAATAATAATAAAATAAAATAAAAACTCCAATATCTTTTAACAATTCCATCAAACTAAAGTGAAAAAGGGTTGTAGGAAATTTGGTGAAAGGTATTATTCATACTTGATTTGATACAAGTTTGATAAAATGATTGGATATCATTTTCACCAAAATTTTCTTCAAATTGAATTTGATTAAGGATTTTGCGGATTGGAGATGCCTAACCGTTTCAGTTTTTGTATTCATGCTTCTTAGCTTCATCAGGCAATGAAATTTATTTTCATTTTTTTTTTTCTGTTCCACATTTTTGGTTACCGAACAGAGGATTTCGGTGAAAAGTGTAGTTTGGAATGCTATTTTTCAAGCAATGGGAGGGTATGATTTCAGATCTAATTGTTTCACTTTTCATATTTATGCTCATCTGCTTTAAATTGTTGCTTGATGATTTTGGTTGGAACGAAAGTTGAAGTGGAAGTGGAAGTGGAAGTTACTAGTTTCCACATATGGTGAAGAGTTGGTGTCTCATTTTCGTGTTTTGGAACATATATGAAACTAAATATGAATTATTTGGGGACCCCAACTGCCTTATCTAGCACCAAATGCTGAATTAGTTATTTCTTAGTAGGTTATCAAATTATTAGGCTGATAATTAAGATTGTTAAAGACCTGAGTTAATGTCTCCAACGTAGTTGTTAGAATCTTACTATTTACAATTTATGCATAGATCGATATGAATTTTATGGGTGAATATATTTTGGGATGGAATCGGGCATGAATCATATGATTCAGAATTACAATTTCCAAGAGTGTTTAGCATGATAGCTATGCCTGATTTTTTTTTTGTGGTGATTAGAGGATTTAATAGGATCCAGATATATCTAGTCAGATCCACAAATTCTTAACTTGATTTTTTTATCTTTTTTTTTTTCTTGAGAAAAAAATGTCAAAATATGTCTTTATATATTATAAGGATTTTTAGAATCTGCATCTTCTTGGCTACAAATGGCTTATCCGCTTGCTAGTTCCTAAATCATATTTTAGGTTTTGCTCCTCCAAGCCTCGCTATCTTGCTTTGTCCTCACATTAGCATTATGCAAGTTGATTCTCTATGTTTTGTAAAGCTCTACAGTTGGGGGGAGGGTATTCCAAAATTGTGTTCAATGTTTTGAAGTGCGAAAAAAAATCATTTTATAGTTGCTTGAAGATTTAAGTTTCCAATCTTCCAAATGTAGCCCAATCACAATTTTAACTAGCTCCACCCTCTCTCTAGCATGGTGATCTCTAGCCAACTCAGTGCTTACCATCGTCTCAAAGGGCTTTCTTCAGCCACCTCACTTACTATTGCCCACAGTCTTAGTTGCATGAAATAGGGGTGGGGATGAGAGCCAGAGCAGTGGAGCCAGGGCACATAGAATTTGGAGCAAGTATATATTTTCTATACTAAATATATAAATATATTCTAATGATTTTATTTTTATTTTTTGCTTAGTTGTAACAAATGTGTTAAAATATTAATTATTATTGGAGATTGATGTCAACTGCAAATTGTATTTGTCAAGTATAAATATATTTTATGTAACTAGAAAGTACTTAAAATAAGTTGTCTTCCCTCCCCCTTCTTCCTTGACAAGAGCAAGTTTCTTGGGAGCGAGTTTCTTCCTTGACAAGTCTATCTCAATTGGGAGCGAGTTTCTTCCTTGACAAGAGCAAGTTTCTTGGGAGCGAGTTTCTTCCTTGACAAGAGCAAGTTTCTTATAGGTTCTTACTTGAAAATGCAAAATTGCATTTTTTTTTTGTAAGAAACATCACCCAAGTAGGAGTTTCCTGCTACCAAGCCCACACTTCCTATAGAAATGGCTCAAATATGTGCCAATTTTTCCTCAGTAAACTTGATCATGCATCAAGATATTTTTCTCTTTAATATATTTTGGTCCTTAAGGAGATTATAGACCTTGTGCACATAACCTCATATCATTTGGAAATAATCACTTAATGTATTGTGGGACTAAACGCATTGTTACCCCTCGTTAACTGTAATTGTAAATTGATCTAAATACCATATACATATCCATATATATTGCCACCCCATTGCCATTTTGGATAATTGGAGGAACTTTGCGCAACATCCCATTTGGTGGTGGGTGATGGAAAAGCAAGAAGATTAAATCATCTTCGAAGCTCCATGGTGATTCAAGGGATTTTCGTGGATCTTCGGATATCGTTGGATTAAAGTTCTTCTGTGGTCTCTCTCCTGCTATTGGATTCAGCTTGGTGGTCCTCTTTCCCTAAGGTTTTACTCTCAACAGTCTTGGCTACAACCAGTTTTCTACATTGGGGACATTTCGACTTCTGTTGCAATCCTCTCTATTCCTTTTGTTATCAACATATTAGGAAATTCTAGTGCCTTTATGGATCTCCATATTCCCTTTTCTTCTATACTAAAACAAGGAGATAGTGGTGGATTTAATGGTTGAGTTCAAGACGTGGGTTCAATGAATGTTCACAGTAGTTTGGCACCTTCCATGGAGTTCTATCATCCAAGACTTGCACTGTAAGTGAACATTAACCGAGATTGGCCATGCATTTTGGTGGAGAGAATCAAAAGGAGAGTAGTGTGTTGTCTGTTATTTTGGATAAACCAAACTCAAAAGTAGGAACCAATTATGTTTAAGATCTTGGAGATCTTAAAACCAGAGATTTGTGTTGTGGGTAATTCAAGAAAAGAAGGTGCAACTAGCAATATAGTAACCAGAGTGGCTATATGGAAGCTCTTATGCACTTGTAAATCCTACTCCAACCTACAGTAGTAGCAATGGCACCAATAAAAGCACAAGCAATTGGAATGGATTCCAAGCATGAATTGATACCAACTTGTGCTAGGTGTACTGTATGGTGGTGTATCGAGAGTTTGGCCATGGGGGAGGTGAGAGGGGGTGGCTGCGGTGGTGTGCGGAAATGGGGGAGAGAAATAGTAGAGATGAAGAAAGAATACAATAGAGGGGAATGGGAGAGAGAAATAGTAGAGAGAGAGAGAGAGAGGGGAATAAGAAGAAAATGACATTCTTTTTGTTTAATGAAGATTTATAAGGGTATTTTATCTTAAAAAATGTGTGATGCATTTCCTGTTAATTTGGATGGAAATTGTGGCTCTGTGTTTAATTCCACAAATCACAAAGGGGGTTAGGTGGTTATTTCCAAATGATAGGGGTTTATGTGCATGTGGCCTATACCATTCAAAAATCAGTGTTCTTTGTATTGTCAAGCGCCAAGGATATGATTCTCATGAGCATAAAGACAATATTTATACGGTCTTTTCAACTGCTACGATTTTACTGCTCGCTGTATGCTGTGTTGGAAATTCCTCATGTGATTATGTGATTAAAAGAAGTGGGGCTGTTGACAATTTTCTGGCTGCTGTCTATGTAATTTGAGTTTATGTTTGTACAATTTTGGCAACTATTCTATGTGCATGCATAGTTGGATGCTAAAAGGGGGATGCATGATGCACATATTTGTTACCTCATTTATTCTTTCCTTTATTAGTTGCTTTGTCATAATCTATCATTGTGGCATCAACTGAAAGTGATAAATCATATGGCAAGAGGTTAAAAGAAGTGTGTTTGTAAATAGGTTGGGTTGGACTTGGGCTCCACTCTTTGAGGTTTGATGAACCCTAATGTAATCTCATTATAAGTTTTTAATATACTTTGGTAATATTTTGCAAGATATGTTTAGTGTCAAATATTTTAAGATAATTGATTCTTGAGTTGATAATGGTCTACAAGACTACAACAAATAACTATTCTAGTTTAGGTTTGAGGCAACTTGATCATAACAGTTCAGTTTATTTTTTATTTATATATATATATAAATCTACCTGAAACTAATTAATTGCCCATGCCATTCTTAAATGTTCAGCACTTTTTTCTTTTGTTTTTGTCCTTTCCTTTCTGGTTTAGCAAGGGACCAGAGGTAGGACTTATTGGAGAACCATCTAGAATATTTGATATTGTGCATGTTATTTGATATGATGAGTTTGAAGGATTTGTCTAGGGATGGGGCTTTAAGCATTTGATTATGACTTATGGGTGTTTCTAAATCTTAAATAGCTTAGATCTAAAAATGTTTTGTATTTCCTTAAACCTTCGTGAATCTTTTAATGATAGTTTCAGTTTGTGAATAAAAATCTCAAAAATGGATTCAAAATTTGGATTTTTTTTCTTTTCTTTTATGGCCCAAACAATAAAATATAAATTCTGGACTCATTATCAAACCCATGCCCTTGTGCCAAAGTGGTGTCCTCTCCAACCCCCATGGGTGGGTGGAGGTTGTGAGTTCAAGCCCATGTGGGGCTTTGGGGGGTGATACCCTTTCCCTTTGCCCTTGGATCTAGGCTAGTGTAGATTCTAATGAGTGACCAAAAAAAAAAAAAAAGAAGGAAAAGAACAGAAAAGAAAGGACTCATTATTGAGCTTTTGTAGATTTGTATTGTCAACCCTAAGTCATTGGTTTTTAGTTTTAGGAAAATGTTACATATAATCCTATTTCTTACCACATTTTCTCACCTCTAGGCACAGGGGAGTGGGGTACCATATGCGTTTATTAATGTGGGTCTCATTGCTTTGTGTCTAAGAGTGTGAAAATGGAATAAAAAATGGAATTATATATAGGCATTGCTCATTATTAATAAAATTCTCCTTGTGCTGCCGAGGTTTGCCCCAAAAAAAAAAAAATTAAAAAATTATATATAGCATTGCTCTTAGGTTTAAAGATGGGGAAGGAAATTGTAAATTTTGGAAGTATTTTCAGTTATATCCTCGATGGCAAACAGGCAAAGAACCGTTCTTTAGAAAGGCCTTACCTGCATTATTGTTCTGGCTTATTATTAACTTATTGTTCATCATGCAGCTGCATTTGGAGCAGTTTTGCATGTGTTATCCACTTCGCTTCTTGGTATAACGGCAATCACCATATCACACACCATTGCTGGCGAGGAAACTGTGCATAAGCTTGCTTCATTGTTGCTTGTAATTCTTGGTGGTAGTTATATTTTGTTGTTCCTAACTGGAAAAGGTGGTCACAGCCATTCCCACAACCAACCAATGGAGAAAATGGCTGTGGCTGGGCTTGTTCTAGTTCCTGCATTATCTCCTTGTGCCACCACTCTTCCAGTGTTTCTTGCTGTTGGGAACTCATCCTCCATGATGGTGCTTGCTATCATAGTGCTGCTATTCAGGTACTACCAACAATCTTGACTCGTAATTGTGTTTGGTTTGAGTTTTTTTAATTAAGTTTTTTGAAAATTGAGTTTTTTGGTTTTCGTATTTTTTTGTTTTTAGTGAATATTTTTAAAATTTTAAACATTTTTTTACTTTTTTAGATGCACCTTACTTAGATGTATCTAAAAAGTAAAAAATTTATGAAAAAATATTTTTAAAATTTAATAAATACATAAAAATATAAAAAATGTACTGAATTCTCGTTTTTTATTTTATTTTATATTTTTAGTATTTAGTGAATTTTTAAAAGGTTTTTTTCAATTTTTTTTTAACTTTTTAGATACATTTATGTTAGGTATGTCTAAAAATTAAAAAAATTGCTCAAAATATTAAAAAAATTCAGTAAAAACAAAAAAACACGAAAAATAAGAAACTAAAATTTTCTGAAAAGTGTTTTTGAAAAATGATAACCATTCTTTTTCTTTTTTTCATTTGATTTTAGAAACTTTGCAACATATTATCAAGGTGTTGAGCTTATTAAACTGACTTCAAAATTAATGGGAATAAAAACACATGAATGGCACACACGCATCCTTTACTATTATACCTTGCTGGGGTTGATTAATTTAGGCATATGTTTATTTTAAATTTATTTTCTGGAACCCAAGTCTAGTTATTACAAATGTTTTTCCTTTTCTTTCTTATCTTATAGTTTATTGATATGACATTTTCCAGACGTTTCAAGCAGTTTGTGTTGACTTTTATGTTTATGCCACAAAACATTGAATCTTTTCCTTTGGGTGTCTATCAGAAATGCAATGCTCCAAACAAAATAATTCCCTCCTATCCTATTGTTTATGTTTGTGGTATGGTTGTGACTGTCTGCTGTGAAAGCCTCAACCTAGTTTAGTTCAAAAATATATTCAGATTGTGTTTGGATCAAGGATTTGAGGGGTTTAAGGGAAGAGGAAGGGAAAAGTGAAAAAATAAAAGCAATTTTTTTGTCACATTTCCCTTGCATTTTTCTCTTCTTTCACAAATTCCTCCTCAAATCTTAGATCCAAACACATCCTTAGATTTCCATCAAGTTCGTTGGAATAAGAAGTCGGAAAAGTCTCACAATATGTTACTTGAACTACTGGTGATTCGTAAACTAATTGGGCATGCACTTGTCTTAGCAATGTGGATACTGCCGATTTAGATTTTTTTTTTTTTTTTTTTGAATTTTAGCTGCAGCTTACTGTTCAGACAATCCAATATTGACTGATCTATTTCCTGAAATATTGTTACTTGGCAACAAATGTCAATTTGTGTGTGAAACTTGTATTTTGTTGGTTTAACACAAGGTCATGATATTGGATTTGCAGCACCATAACTGTAATGACCTCGCTGGTGGCTCTCTCGTTCTATGGTGCAAGCCAACTCAAGTTTCACTGGGTGGAGCGCTATGACAAGCTTCTTGTAGGTTCGGTGCTTTGTTTAGTTGGAATTTTGACCCTTATTTTCCATGATCACGATCATGATGGAGGAGATTTGAGTTCTAGTGGAGAGCATTTGCATAGGAAACTCATTGTTCTATGAGGGATGTTCTTAATCCTGTAAAGGTTGTTTTGTTGGCATGTTTACTATTCATAATGCTCTTGTTGTTTGTTGTGAGTCGAAGAAAAGCAGATGTGTACTGTTTGTTATTTTGCCAAATTAATGAAGCAAGGGGAATGAATGCCTTGTGTGGCTATGATGTATATGGCATTTGTGTTTGTTTCTATTGAAGCAAGGGGAATGAATGCCTTGTGTGGCTATGATGTATATGGCATTTGTGTTTGTTTCTATTGCCTCTCCTTGAATGTTCATAGTCTTCTTCTGTTTTTTATTTCTTTTAATGATTTATTCATGTATTGCTTTATTTATGTAGATAAATTTTAGTGATTATATTTTTTTGATATTTGTGATTATGTGGTGAAACTAAAACCTGGTGGGGCATGCACTTGAACCTTATCCTAGAAATTATACAATGCTAAGTGTACCCATATAGTCAATTGCTTATGATTTCTACATGCTTCCTAGGTCTCTCTCCTATAGGGCTCACATGGTGTGTTTGCTCTTTTGCTTATTTCATGCTTAACGTATGAGAGAGATGAGGATTCTTTCTACCAAGCAATTAGAGGGAGTAAGTATCCTTACCAGAGTTCAAGAATCAATGATTAAACTTCCATTGAGTGACTCTCTCTCTCTCTCTCTCTCTCTCTCTATATATATATATATGATAGGTATTGCTTTTCTCAATTATGTGATATTAATCTCTAATTTCTTACTTAGGCAATGATTATTATGGTATCTAGTTTGAGTATGGAAAATGAGTTGGACTCCCTCAATGAGGCACTTCCTTTGACCCACTCTCTCTCTGATTGGTCAATTTTTTTTTTTTCCTTCTCCTCCAATCACCACCTGCCATGTGTGTGTGGGGGGTGGTGATTGGAGGGGGTCTCAATCACTTTTCTTTGAGTATACTGTAAATTAAGCATGATTAGAACCTAGTGTTATTGGCTAAATTTTGTTGGAAGATACCTCCTTAAATTAGTATTCAACCAACTGCAAGCATTTTGACTTGAGGATGTTTATATGTATATAATTATTTGTAATTTTGTTAAACATTGTTAGTCATAAACCTAATGCATGTTAATTTCTTGATTAAGTTTGAGATATTATAAAATAATATTTCACTGCATTTTTTACGATTTATTCACAATAAAAATAAGAAAAATTGGTGTTTTGAAAAATATTTACAAATACATAATAATAAGGGAAAATTATTTATAAGTCCTATTAGGGAGACTTATGTTACATATAGTCCTACTAAAAAATTTATGTTCCCACAAGTCTTGTGGGAAGTTTGTTTACACATTTACCCTCAATATTAGTTGTTAATATCATTAATAATAATAAAATCATATATAGGAAATTGAATGTTACCATAGTTCATATCTACATAAACGTAACGTAACGTGACACCTACATAAACATGACGTGACACCTATGATCTATATAAACGTAACGTAACGTGACACCTACATAAACGTAACGTGACACTTATGATTTATGACAACATTCAATTTCCTATATAGGAACTTGAATGTTATCATAAATCATGTTTATATGAAACGTAACGTGACACCAACAAAAACCAGCAACATTTTCACATTCAATTTAAAAAAATAAAAACTCATTAAGTTTGCGAAACGTAACGTGACATGTTACGTTTATGTAGGTGTCACGTTACGTTACGTTTATGTAAGTGTCACGTTATGTTTATGTAGGATCTTGTGGAATACATTCTTATCTAAATAGGACTTGAGACTCTATAAGAAATTACACAGGACTTAGCCTACCATAAGTGTCTGAAAAATGACTTATAAATAAGTCTCCCTAATGATAATAACAAAAATTAAATTTGTATTTGATTTTAGCTTTCTGAAAACTGAGTTTTTTGTTCTTAGTGAATATTTTTATAATTTTAAACATTTTTTTTTACTTTTTTAGATGAACCTTACGTAGATGTATCTAAAAAGTAAAATATTTGTGAAAAAAATATTTGAAAAAATAATAAATACACAAAAGTATGAAATATACACTGAATTTTCGTAATTTTTTTTTTATATTTTTCGTTTTTAGTGAATTTTTAAAATATTTTTTCACAAAAATTATACTTTTTAAGTGTATTTATGTTAGTTGTGTATAAAAATTAAAAAAATTGCTTAAAATATTAAAAAAAATTTAGTATAAATAAAAAAATACAAAAAAAAATAAATAAATAAAATTTTTTAAAAAATTAAAAACAAACATGGTGATTAATATTCATAAAATTTACCGTTAGTGTGTAATTTTTTTTTTCTACATTTACGTTGAATAATAATTTTTTCATAATAGTAGGTGGGCCCCACCCACATTGTCAGCTCTCACTCTGTATTTTTTGGCTCAAATGAAAAAGAAAGTGGGAGACACAATTCTTTTTGAATGTGAGATGTGATAGGGCATCCGACAACTATGTGGTACGTAACTGTGTTACTATCTTCACCAAAAAAAATAGGGCAAATTACATATACCTCTCTCGAGATTTAGTTAAATTACAGATATCTTTTTGAGGTTTCGGAAATTACATCTCGTTCCTTGAGGTTTGTATTTTCATAACAATTTACCCCCTGAAGTTTATATTTCATAACAAATTACCCCCTAATTTCTTATGCAAATATAACATTCATGGAGGAATTCGTAATTTCTCAAACCTCAGGAGATATCTGTAATTTAGCCAAATCTCGAGGGAGGTATATATATGTAATTTGCCCCAAAAAATACTTTTAATTCCTACAACAAACATCAGAGCATATGGTTGGGTGTACGGCTATCAACGGATTGGATTTGCCCCGAACCTGACTAATCCGATTCCATTAAAAAAAAAAATGATCCGATAATTTGACTAATTCCGAACCCAATTAGTCTGACTATTAACGAGTTGTTTCAAATAAATCCGATCTAATTAAATATCTTATCCGATCCGATCCATTAAGGGCTAGTTTGGCATGTATTAAATAAGTCAAAAAGTCAAAAAGTCACTATCTTATTTAAGTCACATCATCTTATTTAAATCACATCACCTCTCTAACACATCACATCAAACCCAACCCAAACCCAATCCAAACCCACCAATAAGTCAAAAAGTGCACTTTTTTAAGACATCTCAAACCAACCTTAAGTGTTATTTATTTTTTAATTAATTTCGTCTCTTGGTTTAGAATAAACAAAAATAATAATAATAATAATAATTAGATCGGATCAGATTGTTAGATGAATATAATCAAGAAAATCAAAACACTGATAATCAAATCTACAGAATTTGATTACTAGTAAGAAAAACAAAAATTTATTTAAGAAACTTTTGATTGAAAACTCAAAATCAAGAGGAAGAGAGAGAATTGCAGGAGTGCTTTTGAATTTTGTGGATGGAATAAAATGGCTGATTTCGCAGAGCCTATTTATAAGACTTGACAGATTTGATCGAATGGTCATGTCCCTTGATTGCATCTGATCAGATCTGACCGTTGGATCGACAATCTATGGTGTAGATCATTCTCACATCGAATAGCTACATCCAATCGAGTGCCTTCTCATTAGTACAATCGGGCACATCTCTAATCAACAGCTATGATCAAACCGCTTCAGATCAGACACACAGCCGTTCTATCAGTGGTTGACTCATCACCAACGGACTCCACGTCACTGCCACATGGAGCTAGCTGCATAGCACCCTCATGGCGCGTTGCATCTGTGCTAAGTGCAAAGTGCACCTTCACGAGCATAATGCAACTCTAACCTATCTCTACTCTCAATTTCTGTTTGTTTGGACCCTGGTGGAGTAGGTTACTGGAGTCAAATTATGCCTCGAAATTTATTTTGAGAGAATTCCTACAATTCGTTCATGTAAAGTATCTTTTTTTTTTGAACTTATTTAGGCCTCACTAATTTAATTCAAGGAAAATAAGTGAGAGCACTAATTAGTGTTACTACTAATGATGTGGTAGTAAGCTTCACTCACTGTCACAGTGTTATTGTATCTTTTTTTTTTAAAAAAAAAAAATGTCAAATCATTAGTGATACTTTAGAATATCACTTTTAGTGATCTCTATCATTACTGTTAACTCAAGATATGCCTTAAGGTCTCGTTTGGAAACATGTTAATTTAGTAACTTTTTAATTATTTGGCTAAAATATGAACTAAAAAAATTAATATGTTTGAAATGATTTTTTAATTTTTTATGAAAAAATATGTAAAAAGTAGAAAAAAAAATTTAATTTTTTAATATGAATTTTTAATTTTTTAATTTTTTTAATATTTTTTTAATTTTTTAATTAAAAATAAAGATTTTTAAACGGAGCCTAAGTTTTATCTTGAGAGAGTTCCTGCAATTCCTTCGCGTATGGTTCCTTTTTGTCAGACTTATCTAGAGTCTTCTAATTTATCTCTTCAAAATGAGTAGACTCTCTTTTGGTCTGAGGAATAATGCTATTCGTCTGTTCTGTCAACAGCCTCTCTTTATGCTTCAATCTCTGACAACTTAGGGAAGGATGATGCCTAAGCCCTAAATGACTGCTGAAAGGCGCCGTTTGTTTTAGGCTATAGGGAGGATTTTAGAATTCGTAATATCAAGGTATTATTAATGTCTTTGTTTGTCTGCAGAAATAATCTTGAGACTATTAGTTCCTTAGGCCCCGTTTGTTTTGGAAGATAGAATAGAAGGGATTGATAGTGAGGGGATTAATAGTGAGGGGATTATTAATGAGGGGATTGATAGTGAGGGGATTAATAGTGAGGAAAATTATTAAGCTTATATAGTCATTATTAGAATATGATTATTTAGATATAATTATCCCCATACTAATTTGATAGGATTATTAATACCTCACTATTAGTATTGTGAATCAAACATGGCCTCAAGGTATTATTAATGTCTTTGTTTGTCTGCAGAAATAGCCTTGAGACTATTAGTCCCTTAGGCCCCGTTTGTTTTGGAAGATAAAATAGAAGGAATTGATAGTGAGTGGATTAATAGTGAGGGGATTATTAATGAGGGGATTGATAGTGAGGGGATTAATAGTGAGGAATTGTTAAATTATTTTTATATAAAATAATAAAACAAATAAAAAAATATTAAAATTAACATTATATTTAAAAAAAAAAATTCAATATATAAAAAATAAAAAATTTCTAATCCCCTCACTATTTTCTAATATCATCTCTACCTCCTCCTTACCAATCCCCCTTCAAGGGTATTAGCAA